TTCAAACCGCCTAACGGTTTAATCGTCTGAACGCCGTGCACGCACGCCGGCGCTCACTAATCCAAACCTACACGGGTCGAACCCTAATCACATAGTAATTCGGCTAACCAGGATCACCAAATTCGAACACTCCCACTTTGATAAATTACTCTGGCCTGCAACTCGTCACGCTCCTCTTGCGAGCTGTCTTTTTCGCCTTTGGCGTCACCCACACGCCTCACTTTTGCCATCGTCGCTTTTCTCTGGCGACGTCTTCTCCACTCCGTGCTCCGGCACTTCGGCTCCACGGCTTCCGTTGTTGCTTCCACATTTGCCCGATACCATTCGGCGGTCTCCCGTCGCACTCTCGCGGCATATCTTCTCAACTCTTGGGTCTCCACTATAGGCTTCTCCGTTGCAGGCTGTTCCACATCGGCGGGCTTGCTCTCCACCGCCGTCTTTAAGCTCTCTTTGCCCTTTCTGATCTCCTCGGACTCCCCCACAACTTCGCGCACAAACTTCCACTATCGGCCCACATTGGCTCCTTTTTGAATCTGTGCGCGCGGCGCGGCCGCAATATGTCGCGGGCGCGTGCGCCTCTCCCTCACGCGTCATCTCAATTTCCGCCCCTTTTTCGACAAAATTTGAACATGTGCGCGGCGCTTCGTCCGCCCCCACAACGGTTCCCCACTCTCGTTCGGCGCCCCCATTCTCGTCGTCCGACTCGTCTAGGTCGACCTCCACGACCTTCACCGTCTTGTTCACCACGCTTTCCGCTCTTACCGGCCTCTTTGCCGTGGCGCACACCCGGTTCCCCTTGAGCGGACCCCTTGCACGGAATGCTCTATGCTTTCCCACGGTCTCGATCTTCCACAGTCCTCAACGTTTGATAGCCTCCATACGGACCACATTGTCCGTCTCGATCTACGCGGTTCTTCCCTCAAGCACCACTCGTGCTCCCGCGGCGGGTGCTCTAGATAGCGAGAACAAATTCGCCTGTGCCCTCGGAGCGTGCCGGACCTCCTTCAAGGTTACCGTACTCAGACCGCTCGGGGACTTGCACTTAAGCTCCACTTCCCCAATGCCCACCGCAATCGGAGACTCACCACATATCCCCACGATATTCTCGTCACGCACGAGCTCTCTGTAGCTCGTGAATTGGCTCCGCTCGGCCGTGACATGCTGGGTGCTGCCCGAGTCAACAATCCACACCCCTTTGCGCACATCCCTTGTCGTCGCCCAATGCCGTAAAAGCTACTCCGTTTGCATCCCTCGCAAACTCTCTCTCCTCTGCGCGACCACTTGCGCGCGCGCTTTGCCTACAACTGCTTCTGTGTGACCCCTCTTGCCGCACTTGCGACACTCGGCATCGCGCAACTTCCACTTTGCCTTCATGTGGCCCGCCTGGCCACAACAATAGCACGTTTGGTGGATTTGAGCTCCCGCCTCTCACTCCCGAGCTTCTTTTCAGCTCGTTTGAGCTTCCCCGGCCCTTCTCAGAGCTCGAGTAGCCCCTATGCTTGGCGGCATACGCCACCGCTCCAGCTCCACCCGAAATCCCCACCAAGGACCCCGCTTCAGCCCTCAACCTTAGCTCCTTCTCCGGCTTCTGCTCTCCTGCATTAGCTTTGGCTGAATCTCATCTAGGGTTAGCTCTTCCTCTCCGAGCATCAAAAACTCCAGAACGATGGCATACTCTTCCGGCAAACCTTCCAAGGCGTGCAC